AGGTAAATTACATTAATGATGGTGCCTGTAACACTAAAACAAAGTGGTGTTAAGTAGCAAGGATGTTACTCATGTTAGACATTAGTTCAAACTGTATAAAAAACCTTGTTAACACTATTTAAATTTGTGTAAAAATACAGTTATACACAGTGTGTATTAATACTAATAAAATGAAAACAACTTCATTGTTGATTTTTAGTTACAGTAATTCACAATGCTACTTAACACTTTATTAAGGGGCAACTTTCTAAAAGTAGCTGGAATGAATTTACACTCTGTAAGCATATATGGTTGAAAACTGGGTTTATGGTATATTTTGGTTTAGTTATGCCCAACCATTTACACTGTAAAGCCCCTCAGTGGCTCAGTTGTTGTTGTTGTTTATTATTAAGCACAAAGCTACACAAAGGGCTATCTGTGCTCTGCCCACCACGGGTATCGAAACCCAGTTTCTAGCAGTGTAAGTCTGCAGACATATCACTGTGCCACTGGGGGCCAGTGGTTCAGCGTCTGAAGGATTATATCGCTAAAAACCGGGTTTTGATACTCATGGTGGGGACAGCACAGATACTGAGATAGCTCATTGTGTAGCTTTTGGTTAACTAAAAACAAACAAACACACTGTAAAATATATTTTATTTATAAATTAAGATTTTATAACAAAAGAGTCAGGTAGTCATAACATTCCTATAGCAGGACCGGGTGAGACAAAAAAATCGTGCTAAGGTGGACAAGAAGTTCAGTACAACTTACAAGATGGTGAATTGGTGATTAATGCAGGTTATTAATGTATTGTTCGTTAGTCAAATCAATGAACTGTGTTTAGAGAATGTGGAACAAGTCAAACATTCTTATAATTTCAATTCAAGTTAGAATTATAATTTTTGCGTCATCCAAAACAAGCTGAATTATAAGATTACTACTGCTAACAGTGTAACATGTTATATACTTTTTCGAAAATAACGTAGCACGAGCTTCATACTACAATAAAACCGAAACACCCATGTCAAATCTCTTTTTAACATAAAAACAAAATTGCTTTCAATTACGTGTTCGTGTCCATAAAAAATGTCATTAGACTGTTTGAAGATGTGGCTACAGCCGATTAAGCAGACTTTTTTTGGCAATTCCTATGGAGAGAAAACTTCGCACTGTGTTCACTAGTCTACAACACCGTTCTGAACTGAGTCTTTCCAAGAAAGATGCATAATTCATAGGTATCACATCTGACGACTATGGGGGTAACGGCTGTCGACTTTGTTGGTTTCTCATAGTACAGAAACACAAAGAAGACTTAAAGAAGTATATGAAAAAGAAATAACGATGCAAAACACTGTCAAACTACGCCCTTGTATATACTTACTCTCTCTCTCTTTAAGGCGTTGCGCAAAAATTTACTATCTTGTGTTGGAAAAATGTAATTAAACTATTGAATGAAATCAATTCACGTTAATAATGTCCACTCATCTCTCCAGATTAGCGCTTGTTATCGTCTCAAAAAATTTGGCTGTGAATTTTTCCTGGCGTTACAAGATTGACAGCTGTCGGTTGTTGTTCTTGTTTGTAGTTAAGCACAAAGCTACACAATGGGCTAGTCTGTG